GATGATTACATTCGTCAAGTTGTCCCACCATTCTCCTTATCCTTTTCCAGATCATTCCATTCACAGAAACTCAATGCTCCCTCCACAAAAATCTCCCCTTTCCCCCTCCCTCCTGCGCCTGGTAACCACGGACAATCTTTGGTTTCTAGGCATTTGCTTATTTTATGTGAGATCATACAGCAGTTGTCCTTGTGCAGCAGACTTCTTCCACCCAGCATGCTGTTTCCAAGGTTCACCTACGTTGTGGCATATGCGACAGAACTTCATTTCTCTCTGTGGTTGAGTAGTATTCCATCGCGTGTAAAGAAAAAAAAAAAGAACCCGGTGCTGTCGAGTCAATTCTGACCCACAGCGACCCTATAGGACAGAGTGGAACTGCCCCCACTGGGTTTCCAAGGAGGGCTGGTGGATTCAAACTGCTGACCTTTGGGTCGTAGCCTGAGCTCTTAACCACTGTGCCCCCAGGGCCCCCCATTGTGTGCATGTGCTACATTTTGTCCAGTCGTGTTGATGGACGTTTCGGTTGTTCCCGCCAACGGTCCCCATTTTTCTAATGACACTGGGAACTCTTCTGGGAACTCTTCAAGGTCCTAGACTGTGGCTTAAGCCTTGCACCTGCCGCAGGCCCTGGCCTACAGTGCCAGGTTCTTCTCACGGGCTGGCTACGCACTCCACGTTTGACCTGTGGCAAAATGCTCACCTTCCCCAGAACTCAGATTCCTCATCTACAAAGTTCTTGCCTTTCTCATAACATTGTTTAATTTTGTTTAATCAGCAAAACTCTGGAATCACGCCCATGTCCTCAAGAAGTTGCCAACAATCTGTTAGGAGACCAAGCGAGATTCTGCAAAGTTGCGCACACAATAGGTATTATTATTGCTGAATCCTTTCTGAACTGCCCTGGCACAGCTCCTCACTCCAACTCTTCGCTGATGGAGGCCTGGACTGGGCCTCAGGTCACCGTGTCCTCAGCAGGTCTGTGAGCAGGCCCGAGGCTGCTGATCCCTGGGCAAAGCCTGGAATTTGAGGCTTTTTAGCAGTTAAGCCTCTGATAAGAACTTGCTGTTGTGTCCTTTGCTCCTGTCATTTGAAAATTTAGAACAGAAAAAGTTCTGGCTAATTACAGTCTTCCAACAAAGACAGGATCACTACAACTATCCCCGGGTTCAAAGGAGGAAGGCCAAGCACGCAGAGGAAACGAGCTGTGGGCCTGGAGGGACCTCTCGGCTCGGTGCCTCCTCAGTCACATTCCTCCGTAGACCTGAGGAAGAGGTAGTAACTACCGCCCTCAGGATGTCTAGTTCCCACCCTGAGGATGCTGGCCGAGAGGCTCTGCACCTCCTCAGTCACATTCCTCTGTAGGCCTGAGGGAGAGGTGGTAACTACCACCCTCAGGATGTCTAGCTCCCACCCTGAGGACGCTGGCCAAGAGGCCAAATACCACACGCTCAAATAGTCTCAGGAGCCCTGGTGGCACAGTGGTTAGGGGCTCGTCTGCTGAACAAAAGGTTGGCATTTCGAATCCACCAGTCACTCCTTGGAAACCCTATGGGGCAGTTCCGCTCTGTCCTATAGGGTCGCCATAGGCTTGATATGAGTTGGAATCGACTCGATGGCAACAGGTTTGGTTTGAAATACAGTTTCAAAAGCAAATAATACCAAACATGGCGGCTTTTACTATATGTAGATTATATATCAATAAACATGACCTTTAAAAAAGGCAAAACAATTTATGCAAAGCCCTTGAGAACTGATTAAAATTAGAAAACCTCATTTATATTTGAGATGCTCATTTTAGTTAAAATAGGGGGAGTCGGTGACTCTGGCGTGGTTGGGTGAACAGGGGCTGATGTAGCTCAGGGCCTGGAGCCCTATGCTCCAGGCCTCTCTGTGGCCACACCAGTCAGGTCTCGGCAGGAAACAGCATCCGACTCTGCCGGCTCAAAGGGCCTCCGACTTGGGGCTGCACGAGAGCGCAGGTAGTGTTGAGGGAACCCATCGGCCTGTCGAGGCACCCAGAGAGAACAGAGCAGGCAGCCACTTCTACCTTTAGACCTGGAGGCACAGGACAGGAGGGAAGGTCACCCAAGTGTCCCAAGAGCCGAGGCCACGGAGGCGCCGGCCTGACCAGAACCACTGTTGGATACGAGGCACAAAGGAAGAAGCAATAGGGCTGGGGATGCTCAGATTGCTGGCTGCTCCCACTGCCTGCACCCAACAGAGGGAACCCGGGGGTCTGTTGGGATCAGCCGCCAGATGCTCTGAGCAGGGCAGAGAGTGGATATGAGGGCATCCAGAATGGTCAGCATGTGCCCCGTCAGCAGAGAAGTAGCTTGGGTTTCCTGTAAAATGGAGACTGTGGACCTGCTGTAACATCAAGAAAGAGTATGTGTGAACTGTAATTACAGAAGAACCGAGAACCCATTTTAGTTTAGGAACAAGGAACAGACAGGGGTGTCTGTTTAGTCTTCATTATTAACATTTAACACAAGTCCCCTTTTCCTGTTTTCCAGAAACGGGCAGTTTGGATTTCTCAGAACATCACAACCATCCATTAATTCTCTCAGTTTTCACCACCGAGCTATCCCTGGGGCTGGAGTCCCACCGAGTTCCACTTCCTCAGGCAGCTTCCAGCCATTCACCTTGGCAGTTTCTTGGAGAAGAGGGGACCACGCTCTGGAGTAAGCAAGGGAGTCAAAATGGCGGGAGGCGAGATTCCAGTCAGGTGACGCTGTTTATTGAAAGGCAGCTTGCTTTATACAGGTGCTCGCTTGCACGTAGGCGGCTGCAGTGAGAAAGTCCCCCCACGACAAACCAGGGCAACTAACCCATACCTGAACACAAAACCCCAACAGAAGGAGCCCAGTGGTACTGCAGAACGACAAAGCAAGAAAAAAGAATCAGAAAAGATAAACGATGACTGTCTCCTCAGCACAGAGTTTGGCCAGGTATGTTTTTTTAAACAAAATAGATTTCTTTTTAAGCTAGCTAATGACAAACTCTTGAGCAGGGTTAGTTCTTAAAGCAGTAAACGGGGGTGGGGGAGAATATATATATATATATTTATATTATAAAATCAAAGAATGGTAGCATGTTAAGACGGGAAGGACCTTTGGCACCAATCATGGTTTTGCCCCCAAGCTCTGACAGCGAATATCCTGCCAAGGCCAGCAGGGTAAACAGATGAGCCGGCACCTGGAAACACCTCCCAGCCCAGTGTTCTTCCCACCCGCTCACTGCCAACTCCATGACAACGTGAGATGGCACGTTCTCTAACATTTAAAACAGCGTGTCCGTGCAGGAGACCCAGGTTCGATTCCCGCCCAATGCAGTTCAAGTGCAGCCATGGCCCGTCTGTCAGTGGAGGCGTGCATGTTCCCAGGATGCTGAACAGGTTTCAGCAGAGCTTCCAGACTAAGACGGAACAGGAAGAAAGGCCTGGCGATCTACTTCCGAGAATCAGCCAACAAGAGCCCTATATGGGTCACAACAGTCTGAGCGGCGACCTATCATGGGGATGGTGCAGGACCGGCAGTTTTGGTTCCATTGTACACGAGGTCACCAAGAGTCGGGACGACTGGGCGGCAGCTAACAATGACAGCATTCTTAAGGCTAGGATGCACCTCTTCTGAACGGCGACTGCTGTTGTCTTTGCGTGAACAGTTTTGCTTCTTGGAGCCTCACAGCTACCAGAAGGAATTGGCCAGAATGAGGGGCGGCTATTTTCTCACTCATTCCCAAAGTTCTTGGGCCTGCTGGCCTTTCTGGTCTCAATTCTCTAGTTATGAGAGGGCCGAGGCATTTCCAGGCAGGCTTATCAGCAAATACCTAACGATGGCGGAAGCGGCAGGGAAGTAAAGAACATGTAAGGAACAGAAGAACCCCCGTGAGTTCCAGAGAGCCAGGCCACCAACCACAGGCTTTTCATGTCCCCAGGAGGACAGAGGGGCTCCAGGGCCGGGTACGGGGATGTACAGCCTCTGCGTCAACTGGTATGATTGTCTATCACCCCCCATTCCCCTGGCCAAGCTCCAGGGTGGGAGGAATTGTTATCTGTTTTATACACTGCTGTGTTCTCAGTGCAAAGGATTGTGCCTGACACATAGTAGGTGCTCAGTAAACCTTTGCTAAGTGAGTGAACGGGAGGCAGATGCAGCAGTCTGCCCCCGTAAGGAGTACAGCCTTGGAAACCCTAGGGGGCAGTTCTACTCTGTCCTATAGGGTCACTAGGAGTCGGAATCAACTCGACGGCAATGGGTTTGGTTTTAACTGAATGAAAGGCTAAAAGAACTCTCTCCACATTCCAAGTAAGTGAAGAGAGGCAAACACCACGCCCCAGCTATGACAGGGGTGACAAGGGACCCCAGCAGAGGTGGAGGAAGGCTTGGCTCTCCTGCTCCAGAGCCCTCATCTGTGGGTGCTGTGATACCTGCCCTCAAAGTGGGCTGATCACTCAGTCCTGTTGGGTGGGCTCTTTGTGCTCTCGGGCAGGTAAGGACTGAGATCTCTGTCCCCTGTGGTGGCTGTCATGGAGCTCTCTGGTCCACAGGCCTCCATCATCGGGACACTTGGGGACACTGTTAAAGCAGCTGAACACTGTCACCTCTGCCCAGACAGACGCACACAGCACACAGGGCTCCTCCCTGGCCACGGCTCTGCTGAGCCGCCTGCCCCACGCCCTGCCCCGGGAGGCTCAGCTGGGACTGCTGAGTGGGCGTGGCTAGGGACTATCAAGGTCCAAGGTGAGACCAGGTAGGTCCTGAGGAGGTTGTGGGGCACCCCGCACCTTCCCAATGCCATGCGTCCCCTGTAGTTCTGCCCTAGCCTTGCAGCTTTGCCCCCAGACTCCAGCCCCTCCCAGTCACCTCATACCTGGTGCTGGCCAATGTCCCTTTGTCCTAGGAAGCCAGGAGCCTTTCAGTTTGCACAGACACACCTCTACCTGACCTGTTTCTTTCCTCCCTTCCCTGACACAAATCTTACATCCTGCTCAATCCTCCTCTCGTCCAGACATCTCCCCACCTTCCGCGACCTTCTCTGTCTTCCGTCTTACGCCCAGCCCCACGTTCCCACACACCAGCTTACTTCTCCCCCTCTCCTTTCTCCCAGGACCTTACTAGATACTCCCCGCCTCTTCCTCACACTTGAGCCTCTGAACCAAGCCCCCCATACTCTCCGCCCCCCCGCCCTCACCCACACCACCTCACCCAGGGCCCAGACAGCAGAGTCTGGAGGGCTGGTGTGGGAGGAGGGACCCAGAAGAAATGACAAGGGGGCTCCACCTTTCCAGAAACCACATCATTTGTTTGAAACCTTACTTACAAGTCCCCTCACCCTGCCTGCGTAAAAGAAATTGCAATTAGTGATTAGCAACGAATCTGAGCCTGGTGCAGAAATTATAACAAGTTCTAGAGAACACAAGCAACCGAGGCCACGCTGCAGCCCGAAGACAGTGACCTCTCGCTTGCTCTCCCTGTCGGCCAGCTGCCTGCCAGGACCACCTGCCCTTCTATTCTCGGCATTAACTATCCATCATCTCAGAGACGATTCATTCTTTCCAACTCTGCGTTCCAGAACGGCCTTTATTCTACCTTCTCTCTCTTACCTCTGCTCCTTAACACTTAAAACTAGTAGCTTCATATTTTAAAAAGTAATACTCAGTGTAGATGTGTGAACTTCACAAACCACCCTACCAAGCCTCAGCAGCCTTCCGAAATGGAACAGCAGCAGTCCGTGAGAATGTCTGGTTGAAAATATTTACACCCTGTCTCCCCGCACAATGGCTGGTAACCAGCAACTAGCACTTTGGGACCTTCTTCTTGGCAAGGGTGGAGAGAAGGGGGCAGGAGCAGGTGGCGGCAGACAGCTGGACAGAACGGAGGCATCGCCCTACCAACTACATTTTCCCCAACACCCCAGTGGGCAGTGGCTCCTAGCTCCCAGACTTGTCAACATTCTACGAGGCACTAACCGCCTGTCTAACTCAGGGCTCCCAGGCAGGAAAGCACGTGGAGGAATGGCGCATCGTGTGACGAGGAGGCCACGGTCTCCTCTCCAGACAGACGCTCCGCCCCCAGAAGTGGACTCAGAGCTGGCTGATGGCGGTGCTGTCCTTGGGGAAGGTGTAGCTCAGCGGTGCCTCGTAGAGACTCCCCCCATCGGTGCTGAGGTCATCATCGTCATCAATGTCGTCCAGCACTTTACTCGGGAACTTCTTAAGTCTGCTGAAACAAGAGGGGACATGGTTCCCGGTCCTGGACCGGCTGCTCGTCACCAACATGGAGACAGAGGATGGGTCTCATCCCATCATGTACATCAAGCACGTGGACTTAACTGCTCTGCCCCTGACTTTAGCAACAGGGAGCAAATGTTCCCACCCTTCAGGGTGGAGGCTCGCGTTTATAACATGGGCCAGGTGGGTCTGGACAGGGCCAGGAGGGACGGGACAGGGCCAGGAGGGACGGGACAGGACAGGACCAGGCGGGACAGGACAGGGCCAGGAGGGACAGGACAGGGCCAGGCGGGACAGGACAGGGCCAGGCGGGACAGGACAGGGCCAGG